GGAAGGTTCTCAGCTGGATGCAATGCAACCGTGGACTGTTGGGCTTACACATGAAATTTTGAGCCAACAACAACGAACCGAGGTGTTCCGTGAATTGCAAACATTGAGAGGAGAAAGGCCGCATGATGAAATCATCGATTTCTTCCACCAACTGCGTATGTGCCTTGACAACCTTGAAACCAATACTCACTACTGTTGCCTGGGAGTTTACACCGTCAACGATCAAAACGACCATTGACACTTATATTTACTGTTTCCGAAATAACTGTGTCATTTCCGACTGGTCGCAAATGGCACACACCCGTTCTTTTGTTGCGTTTGTGTTATTTTATTGTCTTTCTTATATGTGTCATGTTTACGGAATGCACATATCTTCTCGCTCTAATGGTCAGTGATTTATAGGAACAATGGCCGACATCTGAATTGTTTCTGTACAATTTTATGTGCCACTTGTATGGTTGTAAACCTCAATGTTCCTATTAACTTGGAATGAATACTTTTGTTTTTGTTCCTCGATTCAGTATAATTGACCGCACCTGAAGGCATTGTCAATTTTTTTGTTCCGCTTCCAAATAACTTTTGATGGACACAATTGTTTTTTAAATGACGGCATCGGCAATTGGTTTCTTAGAATTTGTTTGTTGTGTCCGTATCCGTAAGTTTTGTGTGACGTGTCAATCGTAGAACTTTCATAAGTGGGGTGGAAAAAATGAAAAATTGGTCAAATGATGTTCCGGTTTTTACTGTATATAAACAGTTGTCTGAATGGACTAGTGTTCTAGAGCGAAGCCCTTGCAAAGTCGACTATTCTTAGTGGTGGTAAACTTGCCATATTGCCTACAACCGTTTAACTTCAAATAACATTGAGTTTTTTATGTTATCAGCCAATATGTTAAATATTATAGTAGGTAGTTATTGTTTTTCTTTTTGTTTATTTAAGTGCCTAGAGAACAGTTTCGTTTCCAATCGAAAAAAAATGTTTGTTAATTTTTGCCAACTTTTTAGACTCGTTCCTCGGTTCAACCTTATTTTTAATCATTTCTTTTTAACAGCCTTTGATAATTAGAACCAATGTTTAATTTAGTTACCAAAGGTTCAGATTACCGCGTAATCTCTTCAATAAATTTTGCCTTATCTTTGATCATGATTAAATAGTTGACTGTTGATGAGGAGTTTCGTAGTTTGAACTTATTGCATGCTTCATTTAAAAAGATTATAGTTAACCTTTTCATCTAAGGAAACTCTGTTGAACTTTTTTTCAAGTCTGAAGAGGAATTGATTATATTCAATTGGCCAATAGGATACTATTTTAATATGCTTCTGCCAATGGAGTAAAAGTACCAACGATCAATTTTCCTTTAAATCACTATTACTTATTTTGGTGAAAACGTGCTATCACTCAACAGAAAATATAACTAGGGTAGTTAAAGTTTAATTTCGTGCGATTGGTCTTTGTTCCCACCTTTGATAAAATCTTTAAGCAAAACCATACACAGTCCCAGGTAACAAAGACCAATCGTTTTTTTCACCTTTCGGTAATGGTGTCGAGGCGGCCTCCACCAGAAACAGAGACTCCGAAAAACAAGAAAAGGCGTGGTGGTTTTCAGTAAACTTGATGTTCTCTTGATGGTCAGTGTGGAAGCACCTTTGTTTTTCAAGTAAATTTTTCAATTGAAAGTTTAACTTTGCTCGTTTTATTCCCATGATTTCTGCCGCAATAGAGAGTTCCTTTGTGAACTTGGGTTTGCTTCCTGCTTTCACTTGAGGTTCAGCTGTTTACTTTTTCAATGTCACTTTCATTTCGAAAAATATGGTCTTCTTCTTACATTTTTGTTAACAATTCTTATTTGATTGATAATGATTTAAAATATTTCTTATCATTGAATTGCAAACAACCTAAACTGAAAAATCATATACAACAGCAATAATTATTGATTCATGAGAGTTTTATTAAAGCAGTAGCATCTACTGCACTATCTGTTCCAAAATTTCATTGTGTAGAACACACTGAGATTGGCAATTCAGAATTTTCAAGAGGTAAATTTTTTCTAACATCAACATCCAGAAGCAATTCTTTTTTGCAAACAAAATAAGTCGAGCTTGAAAAATCAACTTTCTCGGGAAACCATTACTTCTTCAAGATATTTTAATTTCATAAGTTTATCGTTTACGCCATATAGCCATACAAAAATAACACAGTAGTAAGACTCTTCGCCATATGGTTAAACTTTTCAGGAACTGAACTTGATCACCAGTGCCTCACTTTTTAAAAAGAACATTACGGTTTTTATTTTTTTTCCAACTGATAATCTTGTAAGATGCTCTATGGGCCCTTTTCTGTCTAGTTGATTGCCGATCATTTTGTGATTTGTTGAGCTGTTCTGTCCAGTTTTCTCTCAGCATTATAATTGTGTTCACAAAAGTTCTGCAGCTTCTTTGATCATGAAATCGTTAAGGCAGGTGTAAACACCCGTTATGAACGGAAAAGTGTGAAATAGAAGAAAGCATAGAGAAATTCTTTTTTCTCGTGGGCTGTGATAAAACGCCAAAAAAACTATTTATTTCGGTCGGGTGGGCGGGGATGGTCACTGACCTTTCTAGATCACATTGATCTTTTCAACTGAATATCCTAACATTCTAGTGTGAGATATTTAGTGTGATAGTATTAAGACGTCTATTAAAAAAACAATTAAAATGCAACATTAATTCTCAAGAGCTAAAATTGATTCCATCTTTTTTCTTAAATAAATGCGCCAAACTTATTTATCTAGAGCCACTCTTGTAAGAGCCTTGTGCCTAGCGTTGCTGCTATGTGGACAACATTTCCCTTATGAAATATTGCTGTAAGCTTCGTTGATGGTTTCTACTGGAATGTTTCAATTGATTTCAAATAATTTAATTATCTGGGTCGGTCGAGTGATATACCCTAATAAAGTCCCTTCAATTTCAAAAAAAATTCACAAAAATCCCCTACAAGTAGTGCGCATGTCAGCTTCCAGATCAGGTTCATTTCAGCTTTAATTGGTGCGGCACATTTTGAACTCCTGTTGTTTGTAATATCAATCGGTGCTCAGTCGAAACATGAACGTGCTCTGAGTAACATTAAAAGATTTTGATTAATATCACATGATCTTATCTCTACAGAACCCTAATTTAACCGATTACACACAATTATTCCACGCAAATATTCAGTTCGGCCTGCTAAAATTAATAATGTCTCCACGGATCACTATTCTTTTAGAGGTACTTTAAATGATATCGTTAGCTTCGAGAATCACTGTTCTCAATCTAATTAGAGCCAACTATTCACTGTCTCTGCTATAACTGTTCTTACTCTTGAAGGCTTTCCGGTACTCTCCAGTTCCTTATCTTTCTTAACTTAGTTTTAATTTAGTCGAGCCATTCGCTATCAAACCTGGCATCTACTTAAATCACCGCTTGCACATGTTTAATCACTGCGTCCCTCCCCCTCTCATCACTGCCATACGCCAAGTTCGGTTTCTATTATCAATCTAGAGATACCCGGTATGAGGTAGGTGTTACGATTCGACCAAGCAAGGAAATGTCATATGATCCTAATAACAAACTCCTGACCTCCTAGGACTTCAGCCTTCACAAGTTCTTTGCCCGGCTTTGATCGACGACGGACTGATGAGGCACTTTAGTTTAAACACCAGGAAAAAGTAGTGCCGGAAGCTCGAACTTTGAATGTGAAGCAACCCTTTACTCACGAAGCACAACCCGACAATAAATTTGCCAACCCACGAACCAGTCACATTCGAGTGTGTCCGTCCTAATTCAGTTGATTCCTTGATTGTATCCTTTATTTACTGACGAGTAAACCTCATAAATCTACCCAGTTGCAGGCCGAGTTAGTCAAGCAGCAACGTGAACAGTCATGCCGTTATCAACCATTTCATTTCCCCCCTTTCAATCCCGAACAACCCTTTTTAACACAGGGAATCGTTGAAATTGATCTTTATGTATTCGCTCAGCTGCTCGGGGTTCATTTTAACGAATACCGTGCCGAACAAGATGGCTAGAAGTAGCGGGGAATAACCGCGGTCGGGGTTGCTGCGAAGCTATTTATTTTTATTAACACTCAAACAGAGGGACCTCAGCAGGGTGAAGGGCGTTCGGCCCTTATCACAAAAATGAAACCAAGAGCTGCTTAGGTAAGACCAGAACTTCATATTCTTCCAGTTCCTTGATGAGGATCATGTCCTTGAACTCGAAATAGACCTTGGGAGAAAATGTTATCAAAAAAAATTACTGGAAAATTTAATTCAAACGTATTTTAATAGCGTCAAGTCCATAAAATTAGATGAACGATTCATGCAAATATCCAGTGTTTGGTGGATCCCTCAACGTTTCGCCATTGAGTACCAGATGAAAGCTAAACCTTCCAGCTCTCAATTTTTCCCAGGCAAAAAAATGTCGATCTCATAGTTTAAAAACTTAAGTAACTTAATCGTTACTATTATTTCCAAATTTACTCTAAGCTAATTATATTGAGTTATTACAATTTTTTTTATTCTTCGGCTTCATTTCCTTGTTGGATATCCAAATCACACTGATTCAAACTATCGAAATCATGTTTCGATTAGTTTTTCTCTCAACATGAGGCACGAATAGTATTAACTATTGTTACAGAAACTCATATATTTGTACTCTTAGGACCTTTGATATTTGTTATGTTATCTGATGTTTTAGTTTGTTTTCAGTTCCTCAGTGTATGCTGTTGTGTTCAGGTTTTGTCTCACGAGATCACTAGAAGTCAGCGTGGGAGGAGGAAGTATTTATAGTCTTCGGACACAAAAAAGCTGAGCTTTTCTCCTGACTAGCACCTCTTGAGAGCGCAGTTCAAGACCATCATTCATAGCTACTTCTTTAGGTTTGCAGGCATGTGTTACTACTCTTGCATTTGTTTCCATACAAAAAACAAGATCATGCAAAATCTTGCCGAAATCAGATTGCCGAAGTCTTTCAATTAAAATAACTATCATGTCAGCGTCTGGCATGGGTCTTGGATATCTTGCATGGTCTTTATTGACTTGGCAAGAACTTGACTTGAGTTGACTTGCTTCCATGATCTTGGCAAGAATTTCCAAGATCGGACCACAAGGGACTGGTACAAGCGAACTTCGAGCTCACAGGGAGAAAGTTATGGAGTTTATATGGTGTTACAAAATCTCTAATATTGTGGCATGGAGCAAGGCGAACTAAAAACTTCATGGAATGGAACTACATGGAAAGCGAACTACATTTTACTTCAACCTTCGGGCAAAGCATAGCTTACATTTCAAACAGGTATTTCGTATATAATTATAGAGCCCTAAGTTGAGTTCGATTCGCGTCCAAAGGTAAAGTATTGCTCTCCTGTAAATCAATGATTAAACAAATACTGGACTGACAGCTATACAATAACACCCAATAATTTTTAAATTTAGAGTGAATATTTAAAAAGACAATCTACACCCGTAATATTGATGAAGCACTAAATCTGAGACGCGCCTGTATGTCTCCCTTGTACGAACTGGTCTAAAATCTGCGTGAATGCATCCTGGTTGTATTTTTTGAAAGCAGAGTCATCCAAATCCTGTTTGGCAATCAGTTTCAAATCATTCATTGCAACAATCAACCGATTTGCAAGGTCACTTTTCACTTGCAAACTCAAACTCTCGACTCCTAAGTTCACGGATTCTAGGAGCGGGCCATTCATAAAATATTTTTCAGCAGCATTTTGAGGACTAGTCTGTGATGTCAATTTTCCCGTTGCGACATCTCCGTTCGCCATTTTCTTGGACGGTTGTGTCATCGAGGCAGCCGGGTTCCGTCCAGCAAAGTAAAGGCTCTTCAGGAGTTTTACTGTGAAAAGAGCAATGCTGGCACAAGCGCGTAGCTGGAATAGGAATGCCTGAGTCTGATATGCCAGTTTTGGGTTGTATGGAAGTGCAATTGTTCCAGTAACGGGAGTTCCGACCTGCGCTGGCTGCAAATGGACTTCGATGAACGAGAAGATCGACCTGTAACATCAATTTTCTTTAAATCTAGAAAAAGAGCACATTTGATAAACACATAACCAACTCTTAGCTTCATTCTAGACACAGAGGCGAAATGAAGCTTCGTATCACCTGCAATACATCAGAAACATTGCGTTGCAGGAGAAAGAAAAAATGGAAAAACGAAGAATTTTTTTTTTGAAAAATGAAGTCGAATTTTTTTTGAAAAATTAAGTTAAAAAAACTGCTCAACAAATAACTTGAAAACAGTAAATTAGCGAGCGATAGACAACGAAGGCAAAACATCTGGTTGACCACTTGTTGAGCCCCAAAAATAAGCTGTCATAAAAAACTTTCGAGCAATTAAGTTCGAGTTTTTAGAGAATTTGTTGTACTGATACGGGATGTAATGCACGAACTCCAAAATTCGTCTTAACTTTTATTCTAAGAAGTTTCTACTGAAATAAAGTATAAGTCAATCAATTCGGGGAGAGTCTAATTTCCATTTTTTCAATTGAACTCAGGGTGACCACTTTTTTGAGAGAAAAAAATAGTGACTATGACAATTTTCGAATTTTTGTCGAAAATTTTTTTTAGGTCGACCAAATTAATTTTTCAAGCTCTGCCAAAGCACTAAAAAGTCCCTGTTTTGGCCAAAAACTCTGCGCCGCAGGCATTATTTTGAATAAACAGGCTGAAAAAGTCGTTTTTAGGAAATTTTTGAAAAAAAAATTGCGTTTTTTCGGCGCGCGCTCCCCCCTCAATATTAGTATATATTGGCGCCAAAAGCGCCTTTAGAAAATTTTTAGGGTCTGCAACCACATATGGGAAGTGGATATCTCAAAATAAAACAGAGGATTAGTAAAAAAAAAAACAAATTTTAGGGTCCGTCACGAAAAACCGTTGTAAACAGTGACTTTTAGTGACATTGAAAAAATAGTGACCAATTAGTGACCAATAGTGACTGGTCACTAAAATAGTGGCCAAGTGGTCACCCTGATTGAACTAAATATCAGCCTTGACAGGGTAGTTTTCAAAAGTGGGAAAAGTTTCAAAAAACGGTCAACATTTCGGAAAATGGATTTTCCTGAAGCATACCTGCTATGCTACAAAATTGAGGGGTAATCGTTTATGCAGAGAATATATCTACAACGTGTGCTTTCAACTGAATCATTAACTCAGAATTGTCGTAGCATTGTTTGGGAAAAAATTTCCAAAACACGAACAAACCTCAATAACTTGACTTTCCCTAGTCATTACAGTTTTTCTACTGAAAGGCATTATTAATGCGCCTACAAGTAAAATTTCCACAGGATGTTGATTCGACTTAAGCTGTACTCACCGAGCCACTTATACAGGGAAGATTCCCAAAAGCAATTTTTTCTCAGATTTGCAAAAGTCTTTTCGAGAAAAGTGAAATTTGCTATTATTGCAAAAAAAGGTGTAAGCTTCAGAGAAAGATTTTCCTAACGAAATAATGTTTTTTTTTTCATAAGAAAAAAAGGGTCACAGCTTGTGCACGAAAACACTCGCAACCTGTTCCCTAAACTGACCCCTTAATCTCAGATTAAGCAGAGTAGTTTTTGAGAAAAGACAAAAAGATCCAAAAAAAGGCTCCAAAAGTAACAAATTTGGCTTTTCGGGAAGCTTTTTTCTGCATAAATAAGGGCATAAAAGCTGATGCAGCAAAAATACCGGCAATCTGTTATTTCAATTGAACCAGTACTTTGGAAAATTGCAGGGTGATTTTTGAGAAGAGCCAAAAAGTTCCAGAAAACGGCCAAAATTTTAACATTTCGTTAGAACCAACAACTTTCTGCTAAAATTATGGTGTAGCTGATTACGCAGAAAAGACTCCCTTGATTGAATTTCATGATGAAACCCTTGACCTAAAAAATTTGCAGGGTATTTTTTGAGCAAAATCAAAATGCTTCCAAAAACGTTGCAAGTTTCAAGAATTTAACTGTTCCCAAACACAACTGTTTTTGCAAAGAATAAGGCAATTCAACTGATGCAGTGAGGATTTCTTGAACCCTTTATTTGGATTAAATTCTTGAATTCTTGAACTAAGAGTAGGCAGGGTGGTTTTTGAGAAAAAAAAAACAACTTAAAAACCAATTAAAATTTTCCGAAATTTTCGCTTCGAGGTTTCTGATATCTTTTTCTGTCGATTCTTCAAACAAAGATTCGGGAGGGTAGTTTTCGAGCAAGGCCGGCAAAATCCACGAAAATGGTCCAAATATCAAAAAAATGCAGAAGAGATCCTCGCTACCTGTTCTTCCCATTTGAAGCTTAATCTCGGATTTTCCGGAGAAGTCTTGAAAACAATTCAGAAAATGAGTCAAACAATCTCACTGTTCTTTCCATGGGCAACAATTTTTTGAAAATTGGCAAAGTAGCTGTCGAAAAAATAATTAAAAAATGAAAACCCATACATTTTCATAAAACCTGATTTTGTGGAACAAAAATTTGCTGCCCTCGAAACACAACAAAACAAGTTGACTACGCCGATAAAACATAAAGCGAAGCAGTTTGATCGAAAAGATACAAAAAAATCATTCGAAATCATTTTAGTAAAACAACAAATTAAAGAACTTTCAATTGTAAGAAAAAAATTCAAAATCAAAATTAAATCCATGCTTGGCAAAATAAGCCGATGAAAAACAGTAACAAATTATATATTTCCATCTAAAAAAACGGAAACTGAAGCGATAGTAACTAAGCCGAAAACCCCGAAATCATAAAAATGTAATAAATATATATGAAACAATTAAGTATAACCTGAAATGATCTAAAAGGTACTTCTATTTGAATTTCAAGAAACTGAGCATGTCAGCCTGCACACGTGAAACTGCACACGTACACTGCACCTGGAACTGCACATACGTCTTGATATGCACGAAAAGTTGTCTACCGAAAAAAGTCTAGTTTCCGATTACAAGTCACTTGCTCTCACAATTGAAAATATGAATATCAAAGCTTGAGAGCAATTATTAATGAATATTTTCAGGAACGAAATTTCCCACCCATGAACCTGAATTAATTCTCTGCAAAAGGTTAGCTCAAGGGATTTCGCTAGTCATCTAACCTTAGGTCTTTCTCAGCTTGTGATATCGATTGAGGGTCCAATCTATCTACTGAAAGCACCCCTGGATCCTCTAGCCACCTCAAAATTGGACTGCATGTCCCACCAACTCCGGATTCCCCGTCACCACATCCATCGATTGTCCTACTTGTCTCTTTATCTGTCATCAAAGTTCGCTCTACATTTGATAAGACATTGAGTGCATTAGCGAATCCAGGTGCCTGGTTGAAAATCAGTTTGTCTACTATACTGTGGAAAGACGAATGTGATGCCCTGGATGTCGAGGCGTTCCAGCTGAACTCGGAGTTTACCAAGAGTCGAGGAAGGCACGAGATGAAAAGAGGAACTGACTCGGTAGCAAATGAGCAGACAGTTAGGCAGCCTTCACAGAATGAAGTTTCCTCCACACACGAGAACCTGCAAAGGTTCCACAAAATGATTCCAAAAGTCCACAAAAAAACTAAAATTTTCCGGTTACGAAAGTGAAAGATGAAAATTCATCCATTTTGCAAGGGTAAAATACCTATTCCAGGAAAGCTTTGTTCATTATGGCGAACCAACAAAAACATTGAAGATACAGACCCAAAGAATTAATCTCTCAAAATAAAAAACTTGTGTTTTGATAGTTTAATCCGATTAAAAATAACTTACAGTTTAGTCAGCTCAGCTCTTGCAACCAAACTCCTGTTTGCACTTTCGTCATCTGACCTCAAAATCAGTCGCATGCCACGACATACAGCTTCCATCAAAATGTCCGGCTCAGAGCAGCAAACGGTCGCATCATTAGCTATATCTCCGATTCTTCTAGCCGTTGCAACGTCATTGGCACAGAAAACCAATACATCTTCGTTGCCGTTCAACCCCAGGGTGTAAAACGTGTAATCCTTGCAATCTTGATGTTCACACAAAAACGTCGAGAACACAGGTCCAAAAATAGTTCTATTCTTTCTGTTAAAACAGGACAAAACCTGTTTGAAAAACTGGACCTTTTCGCGATACGATTCCTGGTTGATCTGGTCAGACGTTATCTCTAGGTAAGGCACTACTTGGAGGCAGAAACGTTCCGCCAGGATTATAGTTTCAACAAGCTTCTGACAAATCACTTCAATTGAATCGCCGAAAATAGTGATCAGGTCATTTGATAACGGAATTACAATTGTGTTGTATTTGAGAAGACTTGAAATTAGAAGCACTTCGTATAGGATCCCAGTTTTCCATGCAAGCCACATTTCGAAGTCAAACATGACTGCTCGGGTTTCCAAGACAGCGTTGTCATACACAACTTTTCCTAAATTAATTGATGATTCTATTCGTCGTTCACTCAATAACTGCACGAACGTAGCCAAACCATTTCTTGCTCCTTCTATGGAATAACATTTTATGTTGCAGAAATTTTGTTCAAAAGTTAAAGTATACTTTCCGGGTTTCGAAACAGATTTGGAATCGATTAAACTGATATGTAACGGATATTGATATGCCCTCAGTTTAGAAGGGTCCAATTTAGGAAGCATGGATGCGTTGATCTTGAACCCAAGTCTCGATAATGAATTCAACATCATTGTCACTAAATCCAAAGTTTTCTGCCATTCATCGAAGTTTTGAAACGAGACTAAAATTTCAGAGAAAGAATTTACGGCAACCTCACTGTTATTTTCGATTCTTTCCTGAGTTTTCACAATTTTTGGGAGCGGACAGAGGCCCAAAATGTTCTTATCTACATTCGCTGCCGATTTCAAACCAACCATAGTTTTAAAAGCTTCGAAACATTTCATGTTTTCAGTTTTGGATTTCGATGGCACAACTGATGAGTCATCACTTTCGTCTGGTTCTTCTTTTGAGAATGACGTCATGATTGACAGCTTTCCTTTCCACATCTTATCTTCAGCTGAATTAACAAGGTCGTCATTTAGGTTCGAGCTATCTGGACTTAAAGCATGTTCGTCGGCAATCGAATTTCCGCTTTCAGATTCCTCAATTTTTGAGCTGATAAAATAGTGCTCAAACTGAGGACATAATCGTTGACACAATTCTTGGGCTGTGAACCCTTGATAATCCCCATGAGGCGACCTAATAGTAGGGTCACTTTTGACCGAATGACTCATCAGGGCTTTAATTGCGCCCTCGTTGCCACTTTTGACTGACACGTGCAATGCTGTCAGGCCATCCGAGTCAATTACATCAACTTCAGCGCCATTTTCCAAAAGACATCGAACCATATCTTCCTTGGAGTACTGACACGCCCAGTTCAATAAGTATGCACCATCAATTGGGTACTGCTGATTACAATCCATGCCCGCTTTAATGCACCGTTTAACGTGCTCTAGTTTGTCATTAGTGACTAACTGCAAAAAGTACGAGTGGTAGATGTCGGAAAGAGTCTGATTCTCGACTGCCGACTGGTAGCATGTTAGTCCCTCGTCGGCGGATTTGATGCTCGGGTCTGCATTGAACGAGACGAGAAGAGTCCGCACGATATCAGCGTTGCCCGCATCGTTGGCGTAGTGTAGGATACTTTTGCCTTTGTGGGTTGAATTGAGTACGTGTTCGAGGATTCCTTTCGACTTTGAGTCTTCAAGGATCACTACAACAAAATACCAACTTGAGTTCAAAAAAAGGATTATCTTAAAGTGCATCAGATACAACGGATACCTTCAAAGGGAAAAGGACATCTTATTAGGACATTCAGACTCAAAACAAACACAGGTACCCACGGTTTGTGAGATCAATGACTACTAATTTTCAGAATCCCAGAAATAAATCGAGCAAATTACAATTGCAATACCAGAGGGGCATTTAACGTATAATTTAATGAAATCTGCATCAAATTCGTGAAACCAACATTTCGTCCAACTGTTTTTTCATTAAAATTATTTGGCGAAGACTACTCCGTTCAATGGTTGAATAGTTTTAAAATCAAAATTCACTGTGCAAAAACTAACTTCAAGGCCCAACTATTAGTCGCAGACTTATTCAATCATCAATGGGATTTGTGCAAACAATCGAAAAAAAGTGAAGAGTTTTTACCGTTTAGAATGTCGACTCTTTGAACGTCAACTGCCGATCGAACTGCAATATGGATATCATCGTCCATTATTAACTATGTTGCAATGATCTTCCAATAACTGAAACTAAGAGTAAACTGTTTCTCTGGCTCTCTTAGACTGGCTCTATTGACACATTTATATCTGCAAATAGTAATAAATGTAAGTCTTTGTTTCTATTTCATCAAAAATGATGCAATTTAGAAGCAACAGCTTTTAGTAAAAACGGTTCGCTCACATCGTGTTGTACGTGCTAGTGGTAGTTACAAACCATCTTTAAATTTGTCTTTTGTCAACACCAAATTACCAAGCTATCTATGTCGAAAAACTTCCCATCATTGTTGTAACCGCAAATCTAGTTTTAGCTTTGTAGTTGAAATGTTGTGTATAAGTTTTCGGACTTTTAGGCCAATTTTTTTTAGAAGTGTGAAAACCTGCAAACATAGCAAACGGCCATTTAAAAAGTGCTAATGTGCGTAAGCACATGGAAGAAATTGTATCTGAGAATCAAATATGCGGTTCAAATTACATAAAAAATGTCGAGAAAGGTTCGATTTGACATATATGTGGTCGGATAAGTAGAAAATACACTTTTGAAACAATGTGTTTTTGCGCCTTTTTCAATTGAAAAGCGTAATTTGCCCTCCATTTACCAAAAAAATTGAAAAAGCACAGGTCAACTCAACAAAGCATATACCTGAGCATGAACAAATTAACTTCTTCTTGGATAACCTGACGGCCTAAATGAAAGAAAAATCAGTTTGTTCAATAACACCTTCACTTACATTTGCTTCCAATTTCAGGAAAAAATTGTGGTTAAAGAGTTCATTGATGTCAATATAATTACGCTTACAAGCTCTGCAGAAACATTAAGCCTTGACTCAAACTGTTGACTACAACATGTGCGATGTCATGGCAATTAAGAAGATTTATTTCTCAATAAATGCAAGCTATGAACAAATAAACCCTATCTAAGAACAACAAAGACTCAATCAAAAACAAAAACATTATTTATTTTGATTTAGCTTGATGAAACCCCTGTTGGTCAATTTTTGTTCAGCAAGATAAAGTTAACATAAACCTAGCCAATACAGGGTAGTTAATGCGTTTATCACAACTTTCCTCCATAGTTGCATACAACAAACATAATATGGCGAAGCTTCGCTTCGCAAACACTAGTAAGAACACGACAAAAAGCAGCTCTAGAATGTGCAATAAAAAAAATAGACATAAGCCTCGAAATTGTAAGAAATCTGCTAGGTGTAGGATTCGATCTGCGACCTACAGCAATCTAGATATTTTGAGTCTCACGCACTAACAACTCAGCCACGCACGCTTGACCACGGACGATCTCTAGTCACGAATGAAGCAGCTACATATGCTAATAAATTGCCAATACTATTCAGCAAAAGTAGCTCCAAATACAAATAGACACAATTTTGCAAGTATTAATTTGGAATATAACAAACTGAAGGCATCCACATTACATTTGCATGTAACAAATCGGAAAGCCTAAAGCCACATTATGTATAAATTATGCATTTTAGAAAATTGCCTTGAGATATATTGAACTAGAAAATTTCTGAAATCGAGTTTTTATTACAGTTATGTTGTTTGAAACAAATAGCTTTTTTCGGTTCATTTGATGAATTAAAAAAATTCATCAACTGTGTTAACTTATTACTATTCGAATGTCAAAGCACATGCTATCAAAAAGCTGTAAAGAGGTCCCAAAAATGGCACCAATATTTGCGACTTAGAAAAAAAAGAAGGTTCCTAATAAACACAGCTTCGCAAACACTCGCGAGAACACGAAAAAACACAGCTCTTTAAAGTACAATAAGAAAAAGTAGAAGCCTGGAACTTATATCAATTCGGCTAAGTTTCGGATCGATTTCCAACCTGAGATTTCTTTACAAACACCATGACAGGACGGAAAAAAAGTAGAAAAAGCTGTGTAACCTAAAACTTAGAAAATCTTTTCTGTCACATAGATGCGAATCGGAGCTTTGCACCACTTGAGATATATCACAAACTTAACAATGCTAACCGACAAAAAACTAAAGAAAATCTTAAGAGTCAAAAAAAGTTTCAATACAAAATTAGATCTCCGAAAAAAATTCAACCATACGTTAATATATTTGTCTCAAATGAGTCTTAATTAGAAAAAAAATACCAGGAGAGAGACAATTTTCCGCGTTGATTAGCCAAAAATACTGGGCCGTGGTCGACATTCAGCCGTCAAAACTTTTTCAGTTTGAAGTTTTCAAGTTCCTGCAAAGCAGAAACACGCAAACAAATATTTTTCAAACGACCCAAATTTATGGTGGGAAAAGAGCGAAAAATTTTCAAGCAAAAAACTCTACAAATACTCGACAAATACTTGGATAAGAGTCAATGGATTCAAGTAAATCAGAAAACATTGAATTTGAAACTTTCCAAATTCAAAGAAAAAAAGATCAAGTTGAAGCTCTCTAAACTTCGAGAAAATTTTATGATAAACAACTATTTAAAAAAATTGCCCAAATACAGAAGTCTGGATCAATAAGTAATTTCATATGTCGCTGGGAAGCCTGAAAAAATAAAATCAACTTTGGAGCCTAAAATATTCTTGTTTTTTTTTGCACCATTTCCTTCTTTCTGAATTGAAGTGCGTAATTTGCCTTCATTTTAGCAAAAAAATTAATAGAATTTAAGAAGCAACCACAAATCAAACAGCAAATGATCTAAATTTCCGTGAAAAAAATCTAAGACTTTTTCAAGAAATAAAGTATAACGAAGTTGGAAAAGAGCGAATGACTTGTTTTTTGAAATAACTTCGATATTCAGAAAAAAAAATGTGTGGATTTGTAGCACTTCGAATTGCGAGAACAATTTTCGATCACACATTTTTTGGTAAAGAGGCGAAGCGGAGCTTCGCATCACTTGCGATACAAAATTGTATGACTACTACCAGCAAATGAAAAGACAAATCAAAATCTGAAAAAAACTTCAAAAAAATCGTCTAGAAGACAAGTCTAGAATATTCGAAAAATTTCAGTTTCCACTGAAATAAAACTTCTGGGATTTGTCGTCTTAAGCGTGGGTGTAAGCACTGCACTAAACACACAGAATTCTCCTTAAATTTATAAAGAAAACAACTTTCAAAAAATTTAAGAACAGCATGGAAAAAAATTTTAAAAAAATAGCAAAAAAATAGTCATAACTTCTTGGAACTCAATTACTTGCCCAACACTTGAATCCGCTGAAATGTCTTTTTTTTAATTTGAGTAAAACATACTCAAATTTTAGCCACATTTGGCGCTGCGACTAAAAAAGCAGGCAAACAGAAATCCGACAAAGATTTTGCGCTTACAAAAAAAACCATTCCTGGCAGGATTCGAACCATTGACCTTTATATTTTTAGGCAGGTGCGTTACCTCTACGCCAAATGCGCGAAGTAACATCTGAACACATTTGCTGTTCCATAGTAAAGAGAATGAATTGAAATTAAAGAAATCAGAAGCCAATATTTCGCTTTGATAACGCTTGCTAATATCTGCGGGCAACTATTGGTAACCAATTTTAATTTCCGACTTAAAAAGGCTTGCTAAAACACTTATTTCATCTGCAGCGGATCCTTTCAACAAGACCCGCAAAATCAATCAGTGACTGCTTTTCATTTCCTGGCTTTCTGAAACTTTTTCTTATATCTAGATCAAAAATATTTTTGGTTTAAAATAAAATAATTAAACTTCTTGATATTCATCGTTTATATCTTCCATATAAATTACATATAATCTAACTCAAGAGCTTGCAACATCGCAATATAGTCTGGGTGACTGGATATTCTCCAAAATGGCATGTCGAGTACTTTGGCTGCCTGTTCCTCGTCTTTACCATCGCCAACACATACATAGCTGCACTTCCGTCCGAACTTCTGTATAATTCGTTCAAAGCATTCCTCCTTGCCTATTTTGGACGCACTGTAGATGTTGTCGATGTCTAGAACTCCGCTGAGTCCGTATAGGAGGACTTTTACAACTGCCGGGACCAGTTGAGTCGTGGTCACCAACACATTGACCTGGTTGCACCTGAAAACAAAAATAAAATTTCCTGAAGAGTAATTTTCATTTTCTGTGATTGGATAAGCATTGTGAACCCCTCACAGAATATGATTTTTTCACGGAAACCATTTGACACCATGAGTATTAAATCTTTCGCTTAATTATTGTGTTATTGATAAAAACCATTCATCTACGAGGGGAAGGACTAACATACGAGCTGTTCAGCTCATTACGGTGAACCCCTGTTGTGTCACTTCATTAACAACTGCAATTTTCAAACACTATTAAGGTCTCAAAACTGTTGCATCATCCTCAAGCTATGAGAACGAACCATAGCGTTCGTTAAACATTGGAATGAGTGACTATTTTGCTTACTGATGTCACGAATGCCGAGAGTGTAACTAACTGTACCTGGATGAGATATGGTTGAGTGCTTTGAATGCATAGGAGTGCCAGTTGTCAGTGTACTGTTCTATTTCGCTTCTCAGCTGAAGCCACTGCTCTCTCTTACTTCCCATCAGACCTAGAAAACATAAATATTTCGACACTAGTAGGCTGAAAAAAATTCGAATCGCATCAAAAATAAGAATACATATCAAACACAATATTTGAGCCATGCTTTTTAGAGCCCTTTCATGTTTGAGTAAACTTAGCAACTTAGATGATTCGACTTCTCAGTTGAACCACCCAGCACGAGAGAAAAAAAAGCACAGGACTCACTTGTGATATTTGGTCCTCGGTACGCATTATAGTTCTCTTTGATCTTCCTATACCGATACGATAGCTTCCTCAGATAATCTACACCTCCTCGCACCGCACTCGAGGTACTCGGGATACCCAATCCAGACCCCGCGACTCCCGATCCCGATCCTCCTACTGAAGCGGCGGCCGCTGCTGCGACTGACGACACGAATCCATCTGCAGCGAAGTTGTAGTTGCTTAGATCGATTCCGTTGTCATCTGAGACGACGTCGTCAATGTGGATCTGATCGCAGTCTTCGAGGTCGTTGAAGAAGAAAGACATGTCTGCCACTGAGAAGATGAGACTTTCCATTGCTAGCCCAAGCTGCACACCGCGGGCGGAGTCCTATAAAGGATAGCAAATCTAAATTGTAACGCCTCCTCAACGTATAGACTTCAACATTTTACAGTTAGCTTCACTTTAATAGGCATGTATTCAACTTCAGCAATTCTCGTTTAATGCCCAAAAGGTTATTTATAAAAAATATTCATGTCTATTCTTCAAATTGCATTGGTAAATAGACAAAATAAACTTCTTGTAATTTTTACAGCCTCAATCTTTTCACGGAAAAGATTTACAAAAATTTTATTTCGAAACCATCTTAAATTCAAGCTAAAGAAACCATCTTAAATTTGCCTACATATATTTAGAAGGTGATTTTTTAACACTAAAATCAGAATAAACTATCGTTAGAGATTAGCTTATTTCAAAAACCTTTTTTTACTTGCCTTCCCAAATCGTTGAGAGTATGTTCCAGTCAGTAACGAGTGAAATATAATTAGTGTCTCGTCCAAATCCCAGATGAAAATTCTCTGAAACAAACATTAGAGATGAGGCAATTCTAATCGAACAATGGTTCAAACGTTGGTTCAAAAAAAAACCTATCTCAAAATCAATTTTCACTGTTTTGGTGGTATAATGAAACTCACGCCTATTTTTTCCCAACCTCAAACTCCATCATTCACCTCGCATAAACATCTAACTCCTTTTTGTCTGCTCAGATCAGGTGTTCAAAAATGCTTTGCAAAACAATCAAACATTCAGAACAGGGCAATAAATTCGAAAAACAATTGTCATCGGTATCACCCAGCGTGAGCAGAAAGTTCTGCTAAATATTTCAGCACTCGCAGGTTAGGAATTCTCGAAAAGTTTAAAAAGGGGCTGATGACTAACAACTAGATTAAAAATATCGTAATACATGTCCCTCTCCATACTTTAATTTCCGCGAAACAATTTGGGAACTAACATCATAGTTATGATCTGGCGCAGGTGATGAGCACTTCTTTGATTTCTTCAGAGTGTACTTGTGATTCTTCAGGTAACATGGCTCTCTCGTCCTGGTTGTGGGTCCCCCCATCAACGAGTGTCCAAATCCAGCAAGTGGGGAAGGAACTGCAGCTGCATTCAGAGCATAGGCTGTAGCAGCTGCATCTAAAAGATCAAATATACCATCTATCTTCAATTTTTAAATACCCTCCAGGCAAGCAGATTTCAAAATGAGACAAATATTACCGCTAAGCATTCCCTAGTTGGTCAAAATATATTTCGTTGAAAATCTTATGTAAAATTTGAAATTATGCAGCAGATTTTCAAAGAAAAAATACCTTGACCAAATAGGGCATACTTTGCGGTAATATTTGTCTCAGTTTGAAATTTTTGGCTAGAAATCAACCTATGCTGTAAACCAAAAAACATGCATTCAAAACTACGCACTGGTAGCTCGATGTAACTTTAAACTGTGCAGTAGATAGAAGGCTAGTTCAGAGATGATCTCAAGGGATACTTGACGTCTACAAAGTGATTCAACTGTTACATGATGATTATATATTGTGCTTCACGCATCAAACAAAAAAGATGTCAAATCAAAGTATAGCAAGTATTAATACAATATTTACGTTCCTGAATCAAGAAGATAAAAAAAACAGGTATATTTGACTTATTTAAGAGTAATAACTTTATTAACTAAAATAGCTAAGTTTCCAATATAAAAGCAGTTTCGCCAAAATAGTAATATGCGATCGCTTTAATGGTTCTTACCTCCGTATGCGGCTGAGTAGTAATGATGGTATGCTGAGATGTAGTCGGAGACACCAGGACTACCTGCAAAAGGTCCACCAGCTGACGCTCCTGGAACAAAAACACCATCCTCAGACCTTTCATTATCTTACAGAGTATATTTTGAACCGAACAATGACCATCAATTTATTCTCAATTAATTACAAATAAATCATGAGAAAACGTTCAATCACATGAAATTGTGAGAAAAAATTAACTGAAGGCGCATTGCAAAATAAACAAGGTCAGTGGCGGTTTTAGAGGGGGGCTGGGGGGGGGGGGGATTTCGAGCCCCCCTTACGGATTTTAACAGTGAAAACGAGCAAAGGGGGGACCCTTTGAGGTTTTTAATAAAAATTATATCAAAAATAAAAAACATATGACTGCGAAGCGGGGAAATTGGCGTCTCCGACTGAATTATTCCAGCAAGCGTATCAAGTTAACATCCTCCCCCCCCCCCCCCCCCCAAACAGACCAAGTTAAGTTCCTCCACCCCAGCGGTAAATTTAAATAAAATTTGCTAGGCGCTGCATGTAAAATGCTCGATTCTGATTGGCTGAAAATTCCCAACTTAGAACCAAGTTTACATCCTCGCCCCTAAACTTGTTTAGGGGGGAGGATGTTAACTTGGTCCAGCTTTTCAACTAATTATGGCGCAAAGCCGTTGAGCAATGGTTACGACGCAAAAGGACGTGAAAGCGTCTTTCGGATGTAGCAGAAGAGAAGATGCATTTCACATACACAAAGAAAAATTGAAGACCTTTCTCAAATATTTAGAATTATTTTCTTATGTGCAAAAAATTACTTGGCAAAAACGCCGATCGCTATACCGCCTCAGCTAAAACCTAGCGGAATTATCACCTGTAGCAGAATATGGCGAATAGAGAGCAGCTGCTGCTGCGGCTGCACTAGGATGGGCGTACTGTTGGACCATACCAGGGGGTGAAAACATGCCCACCACAGAGGCACTTCCTGTGCCAGTTGAAGCCACAGGGGGGCCTCCAGTTTGACCAGTTGCAGCTGAAGCCAACAGCTGGGAGTATACTCTGACAGAAAAAAAAACAGATAAAAAAAATTTGTCGATAATACAGAAACTTTGGAAATACTTTCATTAACTCAAGAATAATTTCAAAGAAAATTATAGAAAATTACGAAAATCACTTTTGTTAGTCTCATTTAGACATGTAGATATAATGTTTCTGTCTGGTTGCAGCTAAAGCAGCTCATTCAATCTATATTAATTAGCCCTATAAAATATAATTTGGGTAATTGCTTTCGAGACAAAGAAAGTAGACTTACGATGGGTAGTATTGCATGGACGAAAAGTTTTCTGAAACAAAAAAATTTATAAGTCTTTTGAACTTTTGGTATTGAGGAGCGTACTAGCTTTCCTTTCAGAAAATGAATTTAAGTACACTAAAATAAAATAAAACACCGAAAAAACTACATTCCAGCGTAACTGTAAAAAACTTCACCTCGTTCATTTGCACTTTGAAACCATCAAAAAATGCGATATTATTTCATTTTTGGTTTAAAAATATTTACATCAACTGTCAGCTAACTTACCATGTGGTTCGTGTTTAAGACCAGATCCACCTCCCATTAGTTCTGCCTGTTGAAACATACTGGTCGCTCCTGGTGCATACTGCGACGACACCTGAGACGGGAGCATCTGATTGGCTGCCATTATAGCCGATGAGTCATAGCCCACTCCCCCTAAGGGACTAGTCGGCCTTGAACTTCTCTCCTGAAGTGACCCCAAAAGTCCAAGATTTTCCATTTCCGCCCCCTGCAAATTGTTTCCGACTTGTGATTTATTCTCGTTATTCAGGTTCGCTGCTTGACTTGGCGGCGAGTCATTTCTGCTCACAGTGATATTGGCTAGTGCAGTTATTGGGGAGTAGTAGTAAGAGGGGTTCGTCCCGTTGTTAATCGGCCGGAGGAATGATCGATCAGCACAATTATTCGGGTTGTTGTCTTCATTGAAATCGTAATTACCAGATCTGTAACAAAATTAATAGGTCAGAATTCGAAAAAAAATGTATGATGATGTGAATTTGTATTTAGGATTCCCCATGTGCCACTTGGACCATCTCTTCCCACACCCCCATGAGCCCAACATACTACATACTGCCCCCCCCCCCCCCCCCTTAGTGAACTAAAACCATTTTGCCTTAATAAGCAGCGAAGATATCGTCATCGATTTTGCGTCATCGAACAATGTCTTTTGTCATCACAACACATTGTTATCATTATTCATTCAAAATCAGAACTTACTGGCTACTGCTGTACCCCATTTGAACTTCTTGACTCGGATTAGATCTGAATCTCTTCGCCTGAAATCATTTCAACGATTAAAAATCACATTACAGTTAATCAAATCGGGATATAATTTGTCCCATTTTGCAATCAGTCGATACAACTTTTTAAACTTGTTCATAAATGTTCACAAGTCACTCAAGTGAAATAAACCCAGACAAATGATTTGTAAAGATCGGATAATCAGATGGGAAACTGATGGCCATCTTAACAATTACGAACTCAACCATAAAATTACACAAATGAAGGCAAAGTTTTTTAAAAAGCAGAAATTAGCTTAGTCTCAATTATGGGCAGTCAATTATCAACCCCGAAGTTCGGAAATTGCAAAAGCATGCATGCAATATGGAAGGAATTTCACGATTTAAACAAATTGGAACAAAATTTTGAAAATTTTTTGGAATTATAATAATTTTCAAAGTTAGAGGACGAAATAAAACTTGTCAAAACGAAAAAAAAGATAAGACGAGGAGTTCGCATGTGGAAATGAAGATGCAAAACGGTATAATGTTTCTGTGGCAACATTTGATCACGGGGGTTTCCGGTAGCACCCTGTCAGACGCGCAACTTAAGTTAACTATGTTATAACTTGATATGTGCTAAGCTCTACCATTCGATACTCTACAGAGATCTAGAATGACACACACTAGACTTATGTTACAAGATCAAATTTATTATTACTCTCCGACTTTTTTGTTTCTCCTTCTGCAAAATAAGACGCAAACTTCTTATGACTTTTGTTTCTCGTTCTGGAAATAAAAAAGAAAAGTTAATCAAAACTCTCATAAGCAAAAAAGGCCGTTTCTTAATTAATCAACAATATCGCATTTTAAAAAAATATTAGTAACACATTACGAAAAACCTCAGAGAGCAAGTCAAAAATCAAGTTTGAGGGGGGTAATCAAAATGCATTTAAAAAAAATGAGCTACCTGAAAATAGAGATCAGCTTCGGATGTTCCGCCGTACAAGTCTTGCTGTCGTGCCGCATCTGCTTCAGAAGCCGACAACCCCTGGTTCGTTTCCACTCCCGACTCCGAATATCTAAGCAACTGATTCCCTGCAAACGGATGCGAGTTTGAATCTGATGGATTTATCGAAGCAGAAGTCTGGTGAAAGACACCTGGCGACAATGATGCAATTCCTTCTCTGCCCAAATTTGCACCTTGGTGTGTAAGAGCTCCCAGCAGCTGACAATTTGCTTGCTTCTGGTCGTAATAGTCTGAAGCAGCGACACGGCTCGGATTTGAACTCGAGACCTGTCGATTGAAAGAGGAAGAATTTTGAAAGTTGGATCCGACATCTGAAGAATTGTGGTTGAGACTACTAGAAGTTGATACTTCTGAAACTGATCTGTCGCCACTATGGACGCTGTTGCATTCTGGGTGCAAAAGAGTATTTGAGACGCTCGAGTACATTTGAGCGGTTGGGTAGACTTTCCAAGGTGTCTGTTATCGTCGAAAGGTACTTCGTGGGTGTGGAATTTAAGTATTAGAAATATCCTATTGCGCTGATAGTTCAGGCAATCACAGTCTTCGATTTAGCAGAAATTCATTTATTTCAGGGCGAGAAAAATTCAAGTCAGGCTACTCTCAGATTGGCCTGAGAATAATTACAATTTCGATAGGGATGAAATTGCACGAATGAAATTGCTCCTTTCAATTAGCCAATGAAATTGGAGATAGCGGTTGCATTTATTTACCTTCTTATCCCAGAATCTTTTCTTATCCTGGCGTTGAATAGATTTTAGTCAAGAAAAGAATTATTTGGAATGCAATAACAATATGGAAAAATGTGACGGAAATAATCCTGCCAGCACTTAACAATTCGATTTGTTAGCAAGGGGAAATAGGACACCCCCTCTCCCACGAAATTTGTTCAGCCATTTAATCAAAAGTTAAATAGCCCTCAGGTCCGTTCCGACATACTTTTCCCTCTTGATTAAGTCATAAACAGCAATCAGATTTGAAAGTATACTTAAGCACAGCGCCGCGAGTCAGGTACTAAATCAGATTTAGACGATGTGAATTAAGGTAAGCTAGCAATTGATTCGATTAGTATTAGTTAAGTTAATTGGACCAACTCGTTTTGAAGTCCTGGCTAGGCATCAAAATCAACACAGCCGGAATTCAATATGTATGTATCATAACTTACGTTACTAGCTTCACAAGGATTTTCAACTTTCCTTGAGTATTTTCCCTAAACATTTAAAAAGTCGGAACAATAAAAATATCATATTTCGCCATTTAATTAATTGCATATATAAAGATTGGACAAATGACCCGTTTTTAATAGATTGTCTCTCGGAAACTTTTGGCAATTCGCTCATTCAAACGTTTTTTCGTACGCTCATTCAAACGCTCAATTTTCGTTTTTTATCAACTGCTCTTGTAAACTAAAAAAATTATGAAAGAACAGTAAATTTAGAGAAAAAAGGGGCACAGGGAATTAATTAAAAGCCAATAAAGGGAGCCTACTCGGGGCAAAAAGGAATAAGTCAGCATCTAAATGGAAACCCGATATTAGTGCCCAATCCCACTACAGAGAGAGACTCTCCCTCGCTAAGTCAAATCACTCCCACTACTTCCCCCGCCACAATGGATCCCGCACCCCTCTTTAAATCCGCGCCAGGGTAACTCGATCTTCCCTTCATTTGCAACTTCCCCCTTTCTCACAATTTCCCCCGTCGTCCATTTTAGCTTTCTCAATCACTACTTAGCACTCAATCTATATATAAAACATGCTCTTTCCATACTAAGTTGACAGAGAAAATAGAGAAAAGTGTAAATTCCAAGGAAATCAAATTAATCAGATAGTTTTTTTTTCACATGGTTTTATCGTCAATCTCCATATTTGACGATAAACTGGCCGTAGATACAAAGTTGCGACAAAAAACGAATTTTGGCAAAATGCTGATATGTTTTTTGCCAGCGACCGAAAATTAAATCATCACGCAAACAGAAGCAAAGAAAAATTTACGTTTGAAAGCAATCGAGCATCTTAAAAATCCACAATTGCAACTATCAATACAGAGACGAAGCAGAGCTTCGCACCTTTTGCAATACATCACAAACATATCTGGTAAGCTAGCCGACAAAAAAAGACAAGGTCGCTAAGTCGAAAAAATCGTATTTTATCAAAACTTTCATATCATTATCTAAACTACGCAATATGAGGCTACTAACATAAACCGAGACTCTTTGAGCCAAAGATCCCCCTAAACAAAAAAGGAAAAAAACTTGAATAATATTTAAAACCGGAGTTAGAACCAAGATAATTTACAAATTATAAGCAAACAAGACAGCGTATTTATGATGGAAGCATGTTCAAAGTGGGTCTGTGGAAGACGAAAGGTATATTCTCGTGGGAGTCAGAGATGATGAGTCCTGAGAAACTTTCTACACGTAAAAAATCTGCTAAATGGTTGCAATGTCCTTGTTAATCGCAAGGGTAAAAAAAAATCAAAAGATACAATTTAGTTAAAACAAGGAAAGCTATTATTTACAGCTTAGCGAATTGACTACACGTGCACGCAAATCAAACGAATTTAATGTTTTTTAAATAGTATCTGTCTTCAAATTACCTTGAGAAAAAGACCGCAAAAATGAATAAAAATTACTTATTTTAATTCGAAAGTTATCAAAGAAAAAAATAAATTGCAAAAAACTTAAAACAAAATTTCAAGGAAGAAAAAAACCAACGATTCAGACTCATATCATACACTAATCAATGGATCAGATAACCCTATCACTCTATAATCAAAGTAAACAAAAAGACCAATCAGACAGCTTTAATCAATGAATTAATTATTTTCAAGTTTTGGGAGAGAAAAAAAAACAAAACAGCGAGACAAACAAAATAAACTTCATAAGCATATAAGATCAATGAATCATATATTCAAAAAATCTATTAAATTATCAGAACAATTAGCCGCTTCTGTAGAAAAGTCATTCGATATAATTCTTATTAAAAACGCATCAATTGACAAGAAATAGGACATCAGGTATTCAATAGATAACATTTACAGAGCTAGTAAAAATGATTTCAACATTTACTTATTTGAGCTAATCAGTTAGAAAAAAATCACTAACCTTTCTAATTAAAAACTTAGGGAACGAAAGACAATCTCCGAATCAGAAAAAAGACGAACAAACTAACAAAGGCACAAAACTGAAGAGAAAAATGAAATAAAGCAGTCAATTTCAATCATTAAAGTAAATTTCGAACAAACGTTTTCAAAGATCCAGAAAGGAAAAATCAACGATTCAGATTCATATAAGTAATCAATTGATCATATGTCCCTATCACTTCATCATCACAGTAAAAAGACAAATACAGCAAAAACACTTCAAACACAGCACAAATCAAGGATTTATTTATTTATTTTATTTAAGGATAAAAATAAATATAAATCGCGAGCGAGAAAAAACATAGGCAAAAAAGATCAATAAATCATCAAACTTCGGAAAAACAAATTACTTATGAAACAGGAAGCAAAAATGAATAGAAAAAGAGAACAAATTTTTAATCAAAAAACAAATTGCAAATAGTTGAAAACAAATTGAACGCGATTTCAATCTTTCTGTAAAAGCATCCGATTTTTTCAAGAATTGTGCTCGGATAAAATTCAAAAATTAAGACTCCTACAGCTAAACAAATATTCACTAGTCCTGAACAAATCATCTTTACAGCAAAAAAAACTAGACAGCAAAACCCTTCATTTAAATTCTTTCAAAAACTGAGCAAGAGAAAAAACAAAACACAGGACCGAGAGATATTTTAGTTCACTATCACATATCCTCCTCTATATCACACAAAAAAAAAAGCACAAAAATATAATTACAAGACCAGACAACTTCATAAACTGAATGAAATGCTAATCAGGTTTTGTCAAAAAATGAGTGAAAAAGATTCAGGCTCATATGCTAATCAAACGCTCACATTTTCATACCATTTCATCGTCACGTAAGGAGCAAGAAAAAAAAACAAAAAGGAGTACCGATAGAAGTTTCAGTTCAGAAGCACTTCAGATCATTGAATCAACTACTGCAGAAATATAATCAGTAATAAACAGAATATCGCAAATCATATAATCAAGAAAATCTACAAATTTGCCAAAAAAGTTAACCAATTCTGTAGAAAAATTACTCGGTACAATGATTATTAACAATGGATCATTTGAAGAGAAAAATGACATCAAGTTTTCAATGGATAAGCTTTTCAGAGCAGGCGAAAAGGATTTCACCCTAGTCTAATTTGAGCAAAGCATTTATTGGTAATCAAAATTCTTTGAAAACTAGGAAACAACAGGGAAACAGCATCTAAATCAAACGAATCAAAAAACTTGAGAGCAGAGATCTGAAAAAAAAAATGGGTAAAAAAGCAGGCAATGTCAATAACTGAACGAAGTGTCAAGCAGGTTTATTCAAAACTGAAATAAACAAATTCAGACTCATATAGCTAATCAGATGTTCATATTTCCCTATCATTTCATCTTTACAGCCAAGAAAAGACCAGTAGGATAGTACAAATCACTAAGCTAAGTAATTTCAATTTTCGAGAAAGTGAAGAAAAAACCAAGAGGGATAACCGATAGAAATTTCAGTTCAGAATCACAAAAAATCACTGAATCATCTAATGGAAATATAACATCCTGATAAACAATATCTCACAACTCATATAGTCAAGAAAATCAAAGATTTATTCCACTACAATTAATGGCATCTGAAGAAAACTCAATCAGTATAATGATTCATTATGAAAGATCAGTTGAAGAGAAACATGATATCAGGTTTCTGATTATAAAACATTCAGAGCACGTAAAAAAATTTCAACTATCGTCTAGTTTCAGCTAATCATTTATTGGTAATCAACATTCTTTGAATAAAAACTTGAAATCAACAGGGAAACACCCTCTAATTCACAAAAAGCGAAGTAAGAATAGAGCACAGAATGGAAAAAAAAATTGGAATGCAAGCAGTTCCACTTAGTGTCTGAAGTGCAGACCACTTCGTTTTAAAATTTGGAGAAAAAAGACTCAGAATCGTATAGCTAATCAAATGATCATATGTCCCTATCATATCATCATCCCAGCAAAAAAAAAACAAGAAATCACAAATCCATGAGCTAAATATTTTCAAGCCAGGGAAAACACAAAAGGGAGGACAGATAAGAAAATTCAGTTCAGAAGAACAAAGATCATTGAATCTTGTGGAGAATTAACATCACTGATAAACAGTATCTCGCAATTCATATAATCAAGAAAAGATATCAATTTTATCCCACTACAATTAAAGGGATCAGTGGACAACTCAACTAACACGATGAATTATTATCATGGGATCAGTTGACGAGAAAAATGACATCAGGCAAAACAAAAATTAAACAGCACAAATCCTTGAGCTAAGAATTTTCATTTATGGAGCCAGAGAAAAAAACAGAAGGGAAGACCGAAATAAATTTCAGTTCAAAAGCACATAAGATCATTGAATCACCTAATGGAGATTTAGCATCACTGATAAACAGTATCTCGCAAGTCATATAATCAAGAAAATCTATTATTTCATTCCACTACAATTAATGGCATCTGGGAAAAACTCAATCAGAAAAATGATTTATTATCAAGGGAACACTCGACAAAATATGACATTAGGTTTTAAATGTATAAAACGTTCAGAGCCTTCAAAAATTCACTATTGTCTGATTTCAGCACATCATTTAATGGTAAACAACTTCCTTTGAAGGAATACTTGAAATCGACAGGGAAACATCCTAATTCACCAAAAGACGAAGAAAAAATGGAGCAAATAACTGAAAAAAAAATGAAAGCAAGCAACTTCACTTACTGTCTGAAATTCAGACCACGTCTTTTCAAAATTCAGGGAAAAAAGACTCAGACTCGTATAGCTAATCATATGTTCATATGTCCCTATCATATCATCATCACAGCAAAAAAAAACAATTAGACAGCAGTGCATTGATTTCAATAGCTGAATGAAATGCTCACCACTTTTTCTCAAAAATTTAGAAAAAACTCAGACTCGTATATCTAATCAAAGGTTCATATGTCCCTATCGTATCATCATCATCCTAAGTATCTCGCAATTCATATAATCAAGATAGCATGTCATTTTATCCCACTACCATTAAAGGCATCTGAAGAAAACTCAATCAGTACGGTGATTTATTATCATGGGATCATTTGACGAGAAATATGACATCAGGTTTTGAATGTTAAAATGTTCAATTTTTGAACTATCGTCTACTCTCGGAAAATTATTTACTGGTACTGAACATCTGTCGAATAAAAATTTGAAGCAACAAGGAAGCACCATCTAAGTTACAAAAATCGAGCACAAATTTGAAACAAATTTGAAAAGCAGACAATTTCGATAACTAAATGAACTGCTGACCACGTTTTTTAAGAGCTCAGGAAAAAAGACTCAGATTCGTATAGCAAATCTTGAGCTAAGAATTTTAAAGTATTGAGCCAAAGAAAAATTAAAAAGGAGGACAAAAAAAGAAATTCCACTTCAGAAGCATATAAGATCATTAAATCATCTAATGGAGAATTGACATCATTGATAAACATTATCTCGCAAGTTATATAATCAAGATAATATCTCACTTTATCCCATAAGAATTTATGGCCCCCCGAAGAAAACTCAATCAGTATACGATGATTTATTATCATGGGATCATTTGACGAGAAATATGGCATCAGAATATAAATATTAAAAAGATCAGAGCACGCAAAATTTTTTCAACTGTCGTCTAAATTCAGCAACTCATTTATTGGTACTCAACATCCGTTGAATAAAAAATTGAAAGCAACAGGGAAACACCATCTAATTTAAAAAATCGAGCAGAAAACTAAAATAAGTTTAAAAAGCAGGCAATTTCAATAACCGAATGAACTGCAGACCACGGTTTTTCAAGAATTAAGGAAAAAGACTCAGATACGTTTAGCTAATCAAATGTTCATATGTCCCTATCAAAGCATCATGACAGCAAAAAAAAACAATTAGACAGCAAAAATCCTTAAGCTAATTAGTTTCAAGTATTGAGCCAGAGAAAAAACAGAAGGGAAGACCCAAATAAATTTCAGTTCAGAAGCACATAAGATCATTGAATCATCTAATGGAGAATTGGCATCACTGATATACAGTATCTCGCAAGTCATATAATCAAGAAGATCGATTGTTTTATCCTGTCCCACTACAATTAATGGCATCTGAAGAAAACTCAATCGCTATAATGATTCATTATGAAAGATCAGTTGAAGAGAAACATGATATCAGGTTTATGATATATAAAATATTCAGAGCACGTAAAAAAATTTCAACTATCGTCTAGTTTCAGCAAATCGTTTATTGGGAATCAACATCCTTTGAATAAGAACTTGAAAGCAACAGGGAAACACCCTCTAATTCACAAAAATCGAAGAAAGAGTTGAGCACAGAATGGAAAAAAAATTGGACAGCAAGCAATTCCACTTAGCACCTGAAGTGCAGACCACCTCTTTTTAAAACTTGAGGAAAAAAAGACTCAGACTCGTATAGCTAATCAAATGATCATATGTCCCTATCATATCATCATCCTAGCAAAAAAAAAATTAGAAAGCACAAATCCTTGAGCTAATCAATTTCAATTATTGAGCCAGGGAAAAGACAGAAGGTAAGACCGAAATAAATTTCAGTTCAGAAGCACATAAGATCACTGAATCATCTAATGAAGAATTAACATCACTGATAAACATTATCTCGCAAGTCATATAATCAAGAAAAGATCTGATTTTATCCCACTACAACTTATGGCATCTGGAGAAAACTCAATCAGTGCGCTGATTTATCATCATGGGATCATTTGACGAGAAAGATTACATCAAAATATGAATGTTAGAACAATCAGAGCACGCAAAAATTATTCAACTGTCTAGTTTCAGCAAATGATTTACTGTTACTCAACATCCTATGAATTAAAACTTGAAAACAACAGGGAAACACCATCCAATTCACAAAAAAAAAACGAGCACACAACTGAAAAAAAAACAAAAAGCAGACAGTTTCAATAGCTGAATGAACTGCTGACCACTTTTTCTCAAAAATTTAGAAAAAACTCAGACTCGTATATCTAATCAAAGGTTCATATGTCCCTATCGTATCATCATCAAGGCAAAAAAAAACAATTAGACAGCACAAATCCTTGAGCTTAGAATTTTCAGGTATTGAGACAAAGAGAAAACAAGAAGGAGGACAGAAAGAAATTTCACTTCTGAAGCAGATAAGATCATTAAATGATCTAATGGAGAATTAACATCACTGATAAACAGTATCTCGCAATTCATATAATAAAGATAGCATGTCATTTTATCCCACAACAATTAAAGGCGTCTGAAGAACACTCAATCAGTACGGTGATTTATTATCATGGGATCATTTGACGAGAAATATGACATCAGGTTTTGAATGTTAAACTGTCCAGAGCATGCAAAAATTTTTAAGTATCAACTACTTTCAGATAAATCATTTATTGGTACTCGACGTTCGTTGAATAAAAATTTGAAAGCAACAGGGAAACACCACCTAATTTACATAAATCGGGCTTAGAACTGAAAAAAAAAGTTTAAAAAGCAGTCAATTTCAATCACCGAATGAACTGCAGGCCAGGTTTTTTCAAATGTCCCTATCAAATCATCATGACAGCAAAAAAAAAACATAAGAAAGCAAAATTCCATGAAATAAGTACTTTCAAGTATTGAGCCAGAGAAAAAACAAGCGAAGACAGATAGAAATTTCAGTTCAAAAGCACATAAGATCACTGAATCATCTAATGGAGAATTAACATCACTGATAAACATTATCTCGCAAGTCAAATAATCAAGAAAAGATCTCACTTTATCCAATTACAATTTATGGCATCTGAAGAAAACTCAATCAGTATGATGATTTATTACCATGGGATCATTTGACGAGAATGATTACCTCAGCATATAAATCTTAAAACGACCAGAGCACGCAACATTTTTTAACTATCGTCTAGTTTCAGCAAATCATTTATTGGCACTCAACATCCTATAAATAAAAAAATGAAATTAACA